TGTAACCCTGTGACGACCGCTGTGTAGCCTGGTCGTCAGCCCAAGAAGCGTCCGCATGCCCAGTGAGGACCACTGGACTCCGCCCTCCAAGAACTAGCCCCATGTTTGACGTACTGGACAAGTAGCGCAACACCCTCTTCGCTGCAGCCATGTGCTCTGGTCCGTGTCTCCCATGAGCAACATAGCGTGCAAGAATGCTAAGAGGGTATGCAAGGTCAGGTCGTGTGCAGTTCATCAGGTACATGAGGCAGCCAACAAGCTCTGGATACGGGCCACTCGACTCTACGGACTCATCCGAAGGCAGAGCTGAGAGTGAGTGGCGAGTAGGCAGAGGAGTGGCCTGAGGCGAGGAGTACGTGAAGCCGAAGCGCTGAAGGACCTGCTGCACCATGTGTGACTGAGTCAGGGTAATGGTGCGGCGTGCTCTGTCCCGGGTGATCTGCAAGCCAAGGTAGCTTCGCAGTTCACCCAGGTCTGTGCACGTGTGTCGCTTCTGCAGCTCGGAATTAACGTAGGCGAGTCCAGCAGTGTCAGCTGTGGCAAAGACCAAGTCGTCGACGTACACGAGGATGTAGAACGGCGGCAGAGAGGTGTCGGTGCGCAGAAACAGCGACGGGTCGGCAGTAGAAGGAGCAAACCCAAGAGCCGCAAGCGTAGTCCTCAGTGTGTCGTGCCACTCACGTGGCGCCTGGCGGAGACCGTAGACTGGACGCCGGAGACTCCATTGGGTACTAGGAGGGAAAGACCCAGTGAAGCCAGGTGGGCGGCGCAGCCAGATCTCCTCGTGCAGGCTGCTCTGCAAGAAAGCTATGCTGAAGTCGAGAGAGTGGAGCTCATAGTCACGGTGAGCAGCAACGTCCAGCAGTACCCAAAGAGTGGTCATCTTCGGGGTAAGGGAGAAGGTTTGAAAGTAGTCAACTCCCTGCCGCTGACTGAAGCCACGAGCCACGTAACGCGCCTTGAAGACAGGCGGAGAACCCGGCGGCCGCTTCACCCTGAGGATCCACATGCCACTGACGATGTTCGCCCCAGGAGGGGGGACAGCGTCAACGTAGGTGCCTGTGGACTTCCAGGAAGCCATCTCTGCATCCATAGCTGCCTGCCACTGAGAGGAGTAGGGACCCTCTATCGCCTCCGCGTAAGAGCGCGGAGTCGGGATGTAAAGTGCATCCGGGTCTCCCTCAGGGGTAAGTAGTACGGACACGAGATGAGGTGAAGCAGCTGCCAGACACTGGAACTCCTCCTGCCTGTCCTTAAGGACGTCCGTGCCAAGGGCACACTCACCCCCGACGGACGGAGGACAGACAGACTCAGACTCAGCGACAAGACTAGCAGCGTAGTCTAAGCGACAGCGAGCAGCAAAGTCAACGAGCTCAGTAACGAGAGCAGACCCAGCAGTAGACTCGAAAGAAGGGTCAGTGACAACAGTAGCAAGGAGACGCGTGACAGTAGGACTGGCAGCACGAAGAGAGTCCGACTCAGGGTCGGCAAGTGCAGGAAGAGAGGACTCAGGAGGGGAAGGCAAAGGGGCATCTGGAGAGGAGTAAAAGACGGACGCGGAGACATCTGGTGCGTACTAGGGACAGGAGGAGGACGCTAGCGCGAACTGCGACCACTAGCGCGAGCAGCTCTAACAGGCGACGCAGGACGAGACATAGGCTCACGACGCTCAGTAAGACCTCCAGTAGGACCAGCGTAGGGAGAAGGAGCAGGCAGAGGGGAGGCACGCTGTAGTTGTGACTATGACGGGATAGGCTGTGGACACTCTAAGGGAGGAGGAGGACCAGTAGAAGGAGGAAGACCAAGAACTTGCTGCAGGAGTGGAACAAAGTACGGACGAGGCCGCGTGACGGCGCCAGAGGCAGCAGGGACAGCACCAGTACCCTTAGCAGGAGCACCAGCTCCAGCAGCACCTCCAGCAGCACCAGGAGCAACTCCAGTAGGACCGCCAGCGGTAGTCTCAGCGCCAACACCCTCAGCAGCACCAGCTCCTGTCGAACTCGTAGGCCCAGCAGCTCCAGTACTCCTAGTACGAGCACCTCCGGGACCCGCGACCGCAGCACCCTCAGCAGCCGAATAACCTCCAGCACCAGCAGTACGGCGCCAGCGCCGGGCAAACCACTCGCGCAGCTCCTGTGGAGAGAGTGGCTCCCGGCGAGAAGAAGCACCCGGAGAACCTCCAGGCGGAGCACCTCCACTCCCAGCACCCCCAGGCCCAGCACCTCCAGGCTCAGCACCCCCAGGCGTAGCACCCCCAAGCTTACAACCCCCAGGCTCAGCACCCCCAGGCTCAGTACCCCCAGGCTCAGCACCCCCAGACGTAGTACCCCCAGGCTCTGCACCCCCAGACTCCGCACCCCCAGGTCCAGCACCCCCAGGCTCAGCACCCCCAGCAGCACCAGAGTCACCAGTGACCTCGACAGGCTCGACTGCGTCTACCTGGGACACACGTGAAGGGGCAGGACCCTAAGGGGGGAGGGAGTCTACCTTGGGGGGAACAGGTACAAGGAAGAGCGGGGGTGGGGGGAGGGACGGAGTGCGGTAGGGGAAGAGGCGGTAGTAGGGGACCGACTCGTCAAACGTGACGTCCTGGGAGGACAGAACACGTCGAGAGGTGGGGTGGTAGAACTGCCACCGAGGCGCGTCAAGGGGGAACCCCAGGAAGACGCAAGGAGCAGCACGAGGGGACAGCTTGTCCGCAGACAAGTCGCAGACAAACGCCTGAGATCCCCAGACCTGGAACGCCGACGCATCGCCAACCTTCCGCGTCCACAGTAAGGCTGGGGAGGTCTCCGGCCTGGAGACCCTGGGGTGGAGGTTGATCTGATGCGCCGCGTACCTGACCGCGAACGGCCACAAAAAATGGGGGGCAGCCACATGCATCATAGACGTACGAGCGACGTCCATGACCATGCCAATGCGGCGCTTAGCAATCCCATTTTGCTGCGGTGAGTCCGGAAGTGTGAAGGTCTGACGGATGCCTCGTGCGCGACAGTAGGCTCGTAGTAGGCTAGAGGAAAACTCTCCGCCTCTGTCCGAGTGCAGACGCAGAACAGGAAAGTCCGAGCCAAAGCTCCGCCTGAGCTGGAGACGAGCCGCGCGGATCTAGTCGATCAGCACCTCAGTGACATCACCCTTTCTGCGCAAGGGGAGGAGCGTGGTGTAACGCGAGTAGTCTTCAACAACGAGCAGGAAGTAGCGCTCGTGACCGTGTCCACGGATGCGGGCCGGGCCCCACACGTCCATGTGAAGCGTCTGCAACGGGGCCTCTGTCGGAGGAAACTGGGAGGAGTGAGGGGCAGCCCGCTGGCGCCCCTTGACACAGGGGACACAGGCAGGGCCAGGGCCCTAAGGAAGGGGAGGGAGGGACCAGGGGAGACCAGACACAAGAAGACGGGAGGCCATGCCTTTGAGCCAAAGCAGAGAGGGGTGACCAAGACGGTGGTGCCAGAGGAGAGTCTCATGAGACAAGAGACGACACGAACAGGGGGCAGACTCAGGACCAGACCTAGACGCTGCAGCAAACACCTGACCGGACGAAGCGACTCTACCAGACTCAGTAACGGGAGGAGACGCAGTGGTCAGTGTGTACAGGCTCGACCCCGGCTGACGGGTAAACGTAGCCAGGTGCCGGCCTGTGCTAGCCTCTGTATAGTGCGTCACCCGCTGACGCGCAGTAGTGAACAGGTGTACTCCCCCATCCTCTAGGTCAGCACCACTCACCAGGTTCGTCGAGAACGAGGGGAGGTAGAGACCAGACAGAGTGCCAGAGGGAGCCGCCAGACACGGAAGGACTGTGCAGAAGCGAGACAGTACAGGACCCCTGGAGGGGTCAGCCAGAGACACCGCAACCGGGCCGACTCAGCGGCGTGAGAGTGGTGCGGTCCCGAAAGAAGGAGCGAGACGCCCCAGAGTCAAGAGTGAAGGTGAGGGAGGCCGAAGCCGACGTAGTACCTGAGAGCACAGACTCACCAGTACTTGAGGACGCAAACACACTAGCACCTAGAGCAGCAGCCCCAATGCCCGGATCGGGCGGGAAACAGCGGTAGCAGTCACCCTCATCACTATGAGACACAACATACATGGCAGAGAGAATAGCATCAAAGTCAAGATCAAAGATGGCAACACCCGCCCTAGACAGCTCGCCCCAGCGAGGAATCTCTGAGGCCTCCGGGAACTGGTGACGCCACGCGTTCGTCAGGCGGCCAAAGCAGCGCTAGGTGGGGTGCGGACCCCCACACTGCTCACCCGCACGGTCGCCGGTGCGCAGGACGTAGGTGCACGGACCAAAACCCCCACCCCGCTGGCGTGCAGTGTACCACTCACGGAGCTGCTTTGGGGACAGGGTCTCACGACCGCGCTGCTGCTGCTGGCGCGCGCCACTACCGGAGCCACTCCTCTGCGAAGGCCCGCAACCAGCTCCACCGCCACCCCCACCGCCTCCGCCGCCTCCGCTACTGCCGCCACCTCCACCGCCACCTCCACCGCCGCCTCCACCGCCGCCTCCTCTGCCACCTCCGCTCCCACCGCCACCGCCGCCGCCGCCTCCGCCTCCACCGCCACCACCGACCCCCCCACCCGCACCTCCACTCCCACCGCCACCCCCACTACCCCCACCGCCTCCACCTCCACCTCCACCGCCCGCTCCTCCAGCTCCCTTGCCCCCCTTGCCCTTGCCAGGGCGGCGTCTCCCGCTAGGGGCAGACGCCGCACCGACTGACTCAAGACCAAGGAGGTCGGCCGTAGCAGCAGAGGCAACAGAGGGCAGCATGGGGGAGGGGGAACTGTAAAAAGAATGAACAGGAATGAGAATGACTAAGTCAGAGTTGGGTACAAATACAACCCTAGAAGCAAGCAAGCTCAGGGTGGATCACAAAGTCACCACACAGTCCGAGCACAAGAGCAGGGCCAGAGGCCAGTTCACATGCAGGAGGACAGACATATATATAAAACTAGACAAGTAAGAGCAGGTATATATATATGTCACAGTACAAGTGAAGTCAAGGGGAGAGCAAGTGAGGGAAGACAGGCACAAGACCCAGCTGGGTGCAAAAGCGCTGATGGTCACAAGGCGCAAGTGCCTTGGTGAACACATCAGCAGTGTTGGCCTCAGAGGCCACGTACGCAAGTCGCAACTGACCACGCTGCTGCAGCTCACAAGCAAGGAAGTAGCGGAGAGCAATGTGCTTCGTTCTGTGCTCCAAGCGCTGCTCTCGACACAAGGCCAGCATGGCCTTGTTGTCTACGTACAGCACTGGAGGAGAACGAGGCGGCTCTCCAAGGTCAGTCAGCAGGTAGGTGAGCCAGCGAAGCTCCTGTGCAGCCATGGCCCCGGCGTAGATCTCAGCCTCACAACTGGAGCCGAGAACTGAAGACGAGCGAGAAGACCGCCACGAGACAGAGCCGGAACCAAGGCTGAAGGTGTAACCCTGTGACGACCGCTGCGTAGCCTGGTCGTCAGCCCAAGAAGCGTCCGCATGGCCTGTAAGGACCACTGGACTCCGCCCTCCAAGCACTAGCCCCATGCCCGACGTACTGCATAGGTAGCGCAATACCCTCTTCGCTGCTGCCATGTGCTCTGGTCGGTGTCTCCCAGGAGCAACATAGCGTGCAAGAATGCTCAGAGGGTATGCAAGGTCAGGTCGTGTGCAGGTCATCAGGTACATGAGGCAGCCAACAAGCTCTACATACGGACCACTCGACTCTACGGACTCATCCGAAGGCAGAGCTGAGAGTGAGTGGCGAGTAGGCAGAGGAGTGGCCTGAGGCGAGGAGTACGTGAAGCCGAAGCGCTGAAGGACCTGCTGCACCATGTGTGACTGAGTCAAGGTAATGGTGCGGCGTGCTCTGTCCCGAGTGATCTGCAAGCTAAGGTAGCTGCGCAGTTCACCCAGGTCTGTGCACGTGTGTCTCTTCAGCAGCTCGGACTTCACGTAGGCGAGTCCAGCAGTGTCCGCTGTGGCAAAGACCAAGTCGTCGACGTACACGAGGATGTAGAACGGCGGCAGTGAAGTGTCGGTGCGCAGAAACAGCGACGGGTCAGCAGTAGAGGGAGCAAACCCAAGAGCCGCAAGCGTAGTCCTCAGTGTGTCGTGCCACTCACGCGGTGCCTGGCGGAGACCGTAGACTGGCCGTCGGAGGCTCCACTAGGTGCCAGGAGGGAAAGTCCCAGTGCAGCCAGGCGGACGGCGCAGCCAGATCTCCTCGTGCAGGCTACCCTGCAAGAACGCAGTGCTGAAGTCGAGAGAGTGAAGCTCGTAGTCGCGCTGAGCGGCTATGTGCAGCAGCACCCGAAGAGTGGTCATCTTCGGGGTGGGAGAGAAGGTCTGAAAGTAGTCAACTCCCTGCCGCTGACTGAAGCCACGAGCAACGTACCGCGCCTTGAAGACAGGTGGAGAGCCCGGCGGCCGCTTCACCCTGAAGATCCACATGCCACTGACGATGTTCGCCCCAGGAGGGGGAACTGCGTCAACGTAGGTGCCTGTGGACTTCCAGGAAGCCATCTCTGCATCCATAGCTGCCTGCCACTGAGAGGAGTAGGGACCCTCTACGGCCTCCGCGTAAGAGAGCGGAGTCGGGATGTCTAGTGCATCCGGGTCTCCCTCAGGAGCAAGCAGTACAGACGCGAGATGAGGTGAAGCAGCAGCCAGACACTGTAACTCCTCCTGCCTGTCCTCTAGGACGTCCGTGCCAAGAGCACACTCACCCCCGACGGACGGAGGACAGACAGACGCAGACTCAGCAACAAGACTAGCAGCGTAGTCTAGACGGCAGCGAGCAGCAAAGTCGACGAGCTCAGCGACAAGAGCAGACGCAGCAGTGGACTCAAAAGAGGGGTCAGTGACGACAGTAGCAAGCAGACGCGTGACAGTAGGACTGGCAGCACGAAGAGAGTCCGACTCAGGGTCGGCAAGCGCAGGAAGAGAGGACTCATGAGGAGAAGGCAAAGGGGCACGCAGAGGAGCAGTGGACGGACGCAGACACATCCGGTGTGTGCCAGGGACAGGAGGAGGACGCTGACGCGAACTGCGACCACTAGCGCGAGCAGCACGAACAGGCGACGCGGGACGAGACGCAGACTCACGGCGCTCAGCAAGACCTCCAGTAGGACCAGTGTAAGGAGAGGGAGCAGGCAGTGGAGAGGAAGGCCCCAGTAGGGACTGCGCCTGGACAGGCGGTGGACCCTCTACCGGAGGAGAAGGACCAAGAACCTGCTGCAGGAGCGGAACGAAGTACGACCGAGGCCGCGCGGCAGCTCCAGACTCAGCAGGGACAGTACCAGCACCCTCAGCGACAGCACCAGCGCCACCCACACCTCCAGCGGCCGGACCAACAGCAGTAGGCTCAGCACCAACGCCCTCAGCAGCTCCGGCTCCAGGAGGACCCGCAGGTCCAGCAGCTCCGGGACCGGCAGCACCGGCACCCTCGACCGTCGAAGAAGCTCCAACTCCAGCTCCAGCAGCACCTCCAGACTCAGCAGCACGCCTCCAGCGGCGAGCGAACCACTCGCGCAGCTCCTGTGGAGAGAGGGGCTCCCGGCGAGACGCAGCAGTAGGAGAAACCCCAGGCTCAACAGCTCCAGACGCAGCACCCCCAGGCTCAGCAGCTCCCAGCTCAGCACCCCCAGGCTCAGCAGCTCTCGACCCAGCACCCCCAGACCCAGCACCTCCAGGCACAGCACCCCCCGGCTCAGCACCCCCAGGCTCCGCACCCTCCGCAGGAGCACCCTCAGGCCCAGCACCCCCAGCAGTAGCACCCCCAGGCTCAGGACCCCCGCGCACAGCACCCCCAGAGTCAGCACCCCCACGCTCAGCACTCGCAGCAGCACCAGAGTCACCAGTAACCTCGACTGGGTCAACGGCGTCTACCTGGGACACACCTGAGGGGGCAGGAACCTGAGGGGGGAGGGGGTCTACCGGGGGGGGAACCGGCACAAGGAAGTCCGGGGGAGGTGGGAGGGAAGGAGCGCGGTAGGGGAAGAGACGGTAGAAGGGGACTGACTCGTCGAACGTGACGTCCTGGGAGGACAGAACACGACGAGAGGAGGGGTGGTAAAACTGCCACCCTGGGGCGTCAGTGGGGAAGCCAAGGAAGACACAGGGAGCGGCACGAGGGGACAACTTGTCCGCAGACAAGTCGCGGACAAACGCCCGAGATCCCCAGACACGGAACACAGACGCATCGCCAACCTTCCCCGTTTACAGCAAGGCTGGGGACATCGCAGGCCTAGAGACCCGGGGGTGAAGGTTGAGCTGATGCGCCGCGTACCTCACCGCAAACGGCCACAGAAAATGGGGGGCAGCCGCATGCATCATGGACGTACGAGCGACATCCATGACCATGCCAATGCGGCGCTCAGCAATCCCATTTTGCTGTGGTGAGTCCGGAAGCGTGAAGGTCTGGCGGATCCCGCGTGCACGACAGTAGTCTCGCAGAAGGCGAGAAGAGAACTCTCCGCCCCTGTCCGAGTGCAGACGCAGAACAGGGAAGTCAGAGCCGAAGCTCTTCCTGAGCTGGAGACGAGCCTCGCGGATCCAGTCGATCAGCACCTCAGTGACCGCACCCTTGCTGCGCAAGGGGAGGACTGTGGTGTAACGCGAGTAGTCGTCAACCACCAACAGGAAGTAGCGCTCGTGACCCTGCCCACGGACGGGGGCTGGGCCCCACACATCCATGTGAAGCGTCTGCAGGGGAGCCTCTGTCGGGGGGAAGTGGGAGGAGTGAGGAGTAGCCCGGAGGCGACCCTCGACACAGGGGACACAGGAAGGTCCTGGCCCGGAGGGGAGAGGAGGGAGAGACTGGGGAAGACCAGAGACAAGGACACGGGAAGCCATGCTCCGAAGACGGGGCAAGGAGGGGTGGCCAAGACGGTGGTGCCACAGGAGAGTCTCGTGAGACAGGAGTCGACAAGAACAGGGGGCAGACTCAGGACCTGACCGGGACGCAGCAGCAAGCACCTGACCTGACGCAGCCACCTGACCAGACGCAGGGACAGGAGGAGACTCAACGGTCAGGGTGTAGAGACTCGACCCCGGCCGACGTGAGAACGTGGCCAGGTGTCGGCCTGTGCGTGCCTCCGTGCAGTGGGTCACCCGCTGACTCGCAGGAGTGAACTGGTGAACCCCCACATCCTGCAGGTCCGCTCCACTCACCAAGTTCGTAGAGAACGAGGGAAGGTACAGACCAGACAGGGTGTCCGAAGGGGCAGCCGGACACGGGAGGACAGTGGAGAAGTGAGACAGGACAGGACTCCCAGAGGGGTCAGCAAGGGAGACTGCAACCGGCCGGTCGAGCGGCGTAAGGGTAGTGCGGTCTCGAAAGAAGGAGCGAGAAGCCCCGGAGTCAAGTGTGAAAGTGAGGGAGGACGAGGACGACGCAGTACCTGAGAGCGCAGCCTCACCAGTACCTGAGAGCGCAGACGCACTGGCACCTAGAGCAGCAGCCTCACAAGCACCTAGCGCAGCAGTACCAATGCCCGGGTCGGGCTGGAAACACCGGTAACCCTCATTCTCCTCACTATAAGTCACAGCATACATAGCAGCAAGGATAGCATCAAAATCAAGATCAAAGATCGCACACCAGCCCTAAGAAGCTCATCCCAGCGAGGGATCTCAGTAGCCCCAGGGAACTGCTGACGCCAAGCGTCCGTCAGGCGGCCAAAGCAGCGCTGGGCAGCGTAGGCACCCCCACACTGCTCACCAGCGCGGTCGCCGGAACGAAGAACGTAGGTGCAGGGACCAGTACCCCCACCCCTCTGACGCCCAGCGTATCACTCACGAAGCTGCTGAGGCGAAGGGATGTCCCGCGAGCGCTGCTGCTGCTGCCGCTGCGAGCGCTGGCCACCACCACCGCCGCTACGCTGCTGGGTACCACCCCGACCAGCTCCACCTCCTCCACCACCACTGCCTCCTCCGCTGCCGCCTCCACCGCCTCCACCCCCGCCGCCTCCACCTCCGCCGCTGCCTCCACCACCACCGCTGGCACCACTACCACCGTCTCCGCCGCTGCTGCCACCACCACCACCACCACCACCCCCGCCACTAGTCCCGCCGCCACCCCCACTCCCTCCGCCGCCACCGCCGCCACCGCCACCGCCCCCTCCAGCTCCACCCGCGCCCTTGCCCCCCTTGCCCTTGCTGGAGCGACGTCTCCCACTAGGGGCAGACGCCGCGCCGACCGACTCAAGACCAAGCAGGTCGGCAGCAGCACCAGAGGCAACAGAGGGCAGCAAGGGGGAAGGAGAGCACCCCTCAAAGATGGGGGTGCGAGGGTCACCACGAGAAGCACCTACAGCGACTATGCTCTTCTCCGCTGCGAGGAGGGCCGTCTCGAGGAGGTCGACGGTGAGGGTGGTGGGACAGACTGCGAGAAAGTGGTCCCTGACGACGCGAAGGGAGTCAGGGAGACGCGCGACTACGTAGTAGAGAGCGATGTACATGGGGGGTGGGTTCTTAGCGCAGAACTCGGCAGGAAGGGCGGCGCGGTAGCGAGTGTCACTAGTGCGGAGGTGCGTAATGAGATCAGCGACAGTGGGAAAGGCAGAGAGGGCAGGAAAGAGGTAGGGAAGCATGAGACGGCTCAGTGCAGCAGTGGCAGGGGAGGAGTAGCGCGCAACTACAGCGTCGTACAAGGTATGAGCACTCTTGTACTGACTAAAGTGCGCACGCTCAGAGGTAGGGAGGTGGCGACGCACAGCAAGACGTGCAGCAGCATCGCGAGTGGCCCACTGAGAGTGGACAGTGGGATCAGCATCAGCAGCAGGAGCAGGAGAGGCGCCAGAGGTGAGGTCAAAGAGAGAAAGGCCGTCAGCCCTGTCGCACTGTAAGAACAGCTGCAGGTCGTCTAACCAGACCTCAAAATCAATGGCGCGACCCTCAGCGTCAAAAGCTAGGACACTAGGGGTAGCCATGACGACGACAGCGAAGCAGTGCAAGCAGTAGGGGAAGAGCACGCAGTGACAGTGCGACCGTGCTCACCAGGCAGGGCAGGCCGGGAAACTCCGCAGAAGGGCGGCTCGGCGACTCAGTGACTCGGCCGCTGGGCGGCTCGGCTCCCGGGCGGCTCGGCGGCAGGGCGGCTCGGGTGCAGGGCGGCTCGGCGCCCGGGCGGCTCGGCGGCAGGGCGGCTCGGGTGCAGGGCGGCTCGGCTCCCGGGCTGCTCGGCGGCAGGGCGGCTCGGGTGCAGGGCTGCTCGGCTCCCGGGCGGCTCGGCGGCAGGGCGGCTCGGGTGCAGGACGGGGCCGGGACAAGGGACGGCGGGGCCGTCAGGGTGCAGCGGCGGGGCCGGCAGAGTGCAACGGCGGGGCCGTGACAGGGGACGGCGGGGCCGTCAGGGTGCAGCGGCGGGGCCGGCAGGGTGCAGCGGCGGGGCCGGGACAGGGGACGGCGGGGCCGTCAGGGTGCAGCGGCGGGGCCGACTGGTGCAGTGGCGGGGCCGTCAGGGTGCAGCGGCGGGGCCGAGACAGGGGACGGCGGGGCCGTGACAGGGGACGGCGGGGCCGTTAGGGTGCAGCGGCGGGGCCGACAGAGGTGCAGCGGCGGGGCCGGCAGGGTGCAGCGGCGGGGCCGGGAGTAGGACGGCGGGGCCGTCAGGTGACGGGGCCCGCTGCAGCGACGAAGAGGCCGCGCGGCCGGCGTGAGGGCGGCGCGGCGCGGCAGAGCCGAGAGGGCGGCGCGGCGCGGCCGTAAGGCCAGCGCGACGTGGGGCCCGGACCCCGCGCGCGAAAAAAAAGAAGTCGCGCGCGCGACTCTCGGGGCGCCACAAGGGCAGCGCGACAAGCACTATGGGGGAGCGCGCCTCGGGGAGAATAGGGCGCGCTCCGGGCAGGAAAAAAAAAATCGTGGGTGGGCCCTTAAAAAAAAAACCGGTCCTTAGGAGGGACCCGCTCTATACCATGTAAAAAGAATGAACAGGAATGAGAATGACTAAGTCAGAGTTGGGTACAAATACAACCCTAGAAAGCTGTACCCCATATGTGCTACCCCACTATAGCCTACAAACATGCATCATTTATAATACTCTGACAGGAACACCCCTCAAAGATGGGGGTGCGCGGGTCACCTCGAGAGGCTCCTACAGCGACTATACTCCTCTCCGCTGCTAAGAGGGCCTTCTCGAGGAGATCGACAGTGAGTGTGGTGGGACAGACTGAGAGAAAGTGGTCCCTGACTACACGAAGGGAGTCAGGAAGGCGAGTGACTAGAAAGTACAGAGTGATGTACATGGGAGGGGGGGGTTCTTGGCGCAGAAGTCAGCAGGGAGTGCAGCGCGGTAGCGAGTGTCACTAGTGCGGAGGTGCGTAATGAGGTCAGCGAAGGTGGGAAAGGCAGCAAGGTCAGGGAAGAGGTACGGTAGCATGAGACGGCTCAGTGCAGCAGTGGCAGGGGAGGAGTAGCGCGCGACTACAGCATCGTACAAGGTCTGAGCACTCTTGTACTGACTAAAGTGCGCACGCTCGGAGGTAGGGAGGTGGCGACGCACAGCAAGACGTGCAGCAGCGTCGCGCGTGGCCCACTGGGAGCGAAAAGTGGCGTCAGCATCAGCAGCAGGGGCAGGGGAAGCGCCAGAGGTAAGGTCAAAAAGAGAGAGGCCGTCTGCCCTATCGCACTGTAAGAACAGCTGCAGGTCGTCTACCCAGACCTCAAAGTCAATGGCCCGACCCTCAGCATCAAAAGCGAGGACACTAGGGGTAGCCATGATGACAGTAGCCTAGTAGTACTACCTGTAGGACAGGGGCAGTGCAGTGACAGGAGCGCTGCTCTCACCAGACAGGGCGGGTCGGGCAGCTCAGCAGCACAGCAACGCGGCTGCTCGGACGGCTCAGCAGCAACTGCGGTTCGGGCGGCTCGGGCGGCTCGGCTCCACAGCGGCTCAGGCGGCTCGGGCGGCTCGAGCGGGTCGGGCGGCTTGGCTCCTCAGCGGCTCAGGGGGCTCGGGCGACTCAGGCGGCTCGGGCGGCTCGGGCGGGTCGGGCGGCTCGGCTCCTCAGCAGCTCAGGCGGCTCGGGCGGCTCGGGCAGGTCGGGGAGCTCGGGCGGCTCGGGCGGCTCGGGCGGGTCGGGCAGCTCGGGTGGCGCGGGCGGTGTAGGGCCGTAGGGCCGCTGGTAGGGCTCGGGGCCGCAGCGAGAGGGGCGGCGGGGCCGCAGTGAGAGGCGGCGGGGCCGCAGCTAGAGAGGCGGCGGGGCCGCGGAGACGGGCGGCGGGGCCGCAGAGACGGGCGGCGGGGCCGAAGTGAGAGGCGGCGGGGCCGCGAAGACGGGTGGCGGGGCCGCTGAGACGGGCGGCGTGGCCGCAATGAGAGGCGGCGGGGCCGCGGAGACGGGCTGCGGGGCCGTAGAGACGGGCGGCGGGGCCGAAGTGAGAGGCGGCGGGGCCGCAGCGAGAGAGGCGGCGGGGCCGCGAAGACAGGCGGCGGGGCCGCTGAGACGGGCGGCGGGGCCGCAGCGAGAGAGGCGGCGGGGCCGCGAAGACGGGCGGCTGGGCCGCTGAGACGGGTGGCGAGGCCGCCGTGAAGGGCGGCGGGGCCGCAACGAGAGAGGCGGCGGGGCCGCAGAAAAGGGCGGCGAGGCCGCTGAGACAGGCGGCGGGGCCGCAGTGAAGGGCCGCTAGAGCGGCTCGACGAAGTGAGGGCCCGGAGCGCGACTCGAGCTGAGCGCGCTTCGGGCAGGAAAAAAAAAACTTGATGTGGTGGGCCCTAAGCACAGTTCCCAAGGGGGAACCTGCTCGATACCATGAGAAGATTAGAACGAGAATGGTGTGAACTATGAATGAAGCGAGTACAAATATGAAACCCTAGTTGGGTTGTACCCCCTATGGGATGTTGAGATAGAGGCGAGGAAATGAGTGCACTATGAAATGAAACAAGTACAAGTACCAACCCTAATTGAGTTCTACCCCCTATGGGCTACCCCACTACAGCCTAAATATATGCATCAGTAATATAATCATCTGACACACCCCCATAGGCAAAGTGGGGGAGAGCAAGGGGTCACAAGACCAGTCAAGCAAAGCAAAGCAAAGCAAAGCAAGCTCAGGGTGGATCTCAAGGATACCACACAAATTCCGAGCACAAGGTCAAGGCCACAAGGCCAGTTCACATGCAGCAGAGCATATATATATAACAGTGCTAAACAAGCAAGAGCAAGGAGATATATATATGCAGCAGTACAAGCAAGGTCAAGAGGTAAGCAAGTGAGGCCCAGTGGGCACAAGGCCTAGCAGAGTGCAAAAGCGCTGATGGTCACGAGGCGGAAGTGCCTTGGTGAACACATCAGCAGTGTTGGCCTCAGTGGCCACGAAACGCAGGCGAAGCTGACCACGCTGCTGCAGCTCTCGAGCAAGGAAGTAGCGCAGAGCAATGTGCTTCGTCCTGTGCTCCAGTCTGTGCTCCTCACACAAGGCAATGGTTGCCTTGTTGTCGACGTACAGCACTGGAGGAGAACGAGGCCGCTCTCCAAGGTTAGTCAGCAGGTAGGTGAGCCAGCAAAGCTCCTCGGCAGCCATGGCCGTGGCGTAGATCTCAGCCTCACAGCTGGAGCTGAGAACCGAAGAAGAGCGAGTAGAGCGCCAAGAGACAGAGCCAGAGCCAAGACTGAAGGTGTAACCCTGAGACGACCTCTGAGTAGCCTGGTCGTCAACCCAAGAAGCGTCTGAGTGCCCAGTGAGCACAGGCCGCTCACGCCCTCCAAGCACTAGCCCCATGCCCGACGTACTGCACAAGTAGCGCAACACCCTCTTAGCTGCATCCATGTGCTCCTTCCGGTGACGGCCGGGAGCAACATAGCGTGCTAAGATGCTGAGAGGGTATGCGAGGTCAGGTCCAGTGCAAGTCATCAGGTACATGAGGCAGCCCACAAGCTCTGGATACAGACCACTCGACTCTACGGACTCATCCGAAGACAGAGCTGAGAGCGAGTGTCCCGTAGGCAAAGGAGTGGACTGAGGCGAGGAGTACGTGAAGCCGAAGCGCTGAAGGACCTGCTGCACCATGTGTGACTGAGTCAGGGTAATGGTGCAGCGTGCTCTGTCCCGGGTGATCTGCAAGCCAAGATAGCTTGTCAGTTCACCCAGGTCTGTGCACGTATGTCTCTTCTGCAGCTCGGACTTCACGTGGGCGAGTGCGGCAGTGTCCGCAGTGGCAAAGACCAAGTCGTCGACGTACACGAGGATGTAGAACGGCGGCAGCGAGGTGTCGGTGCGCAGAAACAGCGACGGGTCAGCAGTAGAAGGAGCAAACCCAAGAGCCGCAAGTGTAGTCCTCAGTGTGTCGTGCCACTCACGCGGCGCCTGGCGGAGACCGTAGACTGGCCGCCGGAGGCTCCACTAAGTACCAGGAGGGAACGACCCAGTGAAGCCAGGAGGGCGGCGCAGCCAGATCTCCTCGTGCAGGCGGCCCTACAGGAAAGCAGTGCTGAAGTCAAGAGAGTGTAGCTCGTAGTCACGCTGAGCAGCGACGTGCAGTAGAACCCGAAGAGTGGTCATCTTCGGGGTCGGGGAGAAGGTCTGAAAGAAGTCAACTCCCTGTCGCTGACTGAAGCCACGAGCCACGTAGCGCGCCTTGAAGACAGGCGGAGAACCCGGCGCCCGCTTCACCCTAAAGATCCACATGCCACTGACAATGTTCGCCCCAGGAGGGGGAACAGCGTCAACGTAGGTGCCTGTGGACTTCCAGGAAGCCATCTCTGCGTCCATGGCTGACTGCCACTGAGAGGAGTAGGGACCGGCCATCGCCTCTGCGTAAGAGCGTGGGGTCGGGATGTCTAGAGCATCCGGGTCTCCCTCAGGGGCAACAAGCATGGACACGAGATGGGGCAAAGCGGCGGCAAAGCACTGGAACTCCTCCTGCCTGTCCTCAAGGACGTCCGTGCCAAGAGCACAGTCACCCCCGACGGACGGAGGACAGGCAGACGCA